CCAAATGTTGATGATTAGGACAAACAAGAGGCTAAAGGACTACATGAAAAGGTCCCTCCTACCATATATCTTCCAAAGTCTCAGCGGTTTAGAGATTCCCTAAATTAGGTGTTTTAACTACCATACTGTACATTTGATAGTTAATCCAATTGAAATAGACGTATTGAATCCCTTTTTGAATATCTAGATATTATTGTTTTCCTATAGCATCCCATATGAAGTCTTAAGCATTCTCCAATAAATTACTGGTAGAAAAACATAGATAGGAAAGACTGTGGGGGTTGATGGTTTTTGGTTCTGCCTGGCCATTCACGGTCTCTTTCAAAAAACTACCCGTGCATTTATGTTGCCCACATTCACCCTATACAGATAATATGTTCACTGATAATTTGCGTGTTTGGAGGCTCTTCTATCATTTACCATCTTTTGTGTAACACTTCCCTTAGACCCCATATGCATGTAAGAATTGAGAGGCTTTCCCCAGACTAGCCATGAGACTATCTCATAGTAATGCCATAAGACTCTTCCAAGCAGGAGGAGAGGGGTGTGCTGATGGAATGGGGATGATGGAAAGAACCAATGGTGAATATCCAGAGCAGAGATGGAGCTGCATAACTTAGAGCTCATGACTGGGTGCTGAAAGGTTGCTTTGCTTTCACACAGTGTGTCCACAGTAGGATGGTAAAACAGCAGAGATAGTAAATTGGTCCCACAAACCTCAGAAGCAGAGCCTCATGAGCTTAGTGCAGAGCTAATACACTGCACTGTACAATGTAGATGTGTCTTTGTAGCCTATAAGTGATACTTGCTTATCACATATTTGCTTTGAGAAAAATAAAGGGCTGTATTTGTTACTTGAGTACTTTCCCCCACCCCTTTAGAACAGCAGCAAATACACACAGAATTTAATGGGAAACATTAAAGAAAGAATTTTTGGTGCAGAAGCTTTTATTATGATGGTCTCTGTCTCTTAAGAGTGTTTACAAGGATTTCATGCATTAAAACGTGAGTACTTTTGTGTTCTTAATAGCTATATTTCTATCAAAATTTTCTAGCTTCTTTCCAAGTCTGTCAGGAAAGCTTCATTAATTCCTATGGTTAGGGTTATTTGCAGTGTTTCTCCTGATTTTTTTTTTAAAACTTAAAAAAAACCCCAAACCAAACCACCCAGCTGCTAGGGTAGAATAGAAGAAATAATGCTTTAGGGTAGAACAGAAGAAATAATGATAATAAATTTGCTTGAACTTGTAATGATGATAATAATAATAATAATAATCATGTTTATATAAAGTTTGGATTGAAGAAAATTCAACAGTGATTTGGAAAAACTGATGGAAATCTACCATACGAAAATTGACTGTCCACCCACTCCTTCCCAGAGTTCCTCAGAGCATCACTGTGTTTATATTTTGAATGTCTTTGGTGTGGAGTTATGGAAACTAATCAAGTTTTAATAAAACAAGGTATTGTGAGATTTCTGTGGTGCTGAAGTTCAAGTTAACAATCTTGGCTATGTAAATACCAAATATAGATTATGCTTAAGTTAATACCAAAGCGACTTTTATTTAGCTTGCTTTCTTTCTCTGCTCTACAAGAGAAAAATTAATATTACTTCACCTCTAAGAAAGCTGAAGTTATTCCAGAAGAGTGAGAGAATATAAAGTTCCCAGCACTGCAAATAGAGGTAGGTATTTTAAACAAAAACACTCAACCTTCTATATGGCTTCTCTCACTCTTTCCTCATGGACCTGTCTGCAGAATAGATTCTCAGCTGCAAAGCATCCAGATCCTAATTTATGTGTATGCGAAAATTCAGGGTTAACAAGAATATGTTCTCTGTGGAAGAAACAGCCAGTGCCATTCAGACTGCATCCCTTTTTCCTTCCTTGCCACAGAGCAGGTTGTTGCAAATATGTCTGATGAAACTGCAGGTCCTTATTCTACTCAAATGAACAAATTTAATGTTTCTAATAGTGATTAGGGGTAGTATCTCTCCTCATGACTGGATGGCCAACAGGCAGGACAAATGAGTTTAAATATCTGCTCTAAATCAAGGAGAGAGAGGATAAATTTAACTCTCTCCACACGATAATTGTTGTCCTTTCTGTTCTTGTACACTGCATGGGTTTTGGTTGAGATGGTTTGGGGTTTTTTTGTTTCTTTGTTCATTTATTTATTTATTTTTTTTTTAAATGCAACCTAAGATCAATGAGTCAAACAGGTGTCGCAGGTTACAACTTAACTGGAAAGTAGGGAAGAGAAGATTAGTGGCATGGGTTTTCAAGCAGGTCACTCTCTTAGCTAGAGGTAGGTGCCTGTCTATTGCCAGTTTTACTGGATTAGAAGAGAAACCTCAGCACAGCTTTTGCATGTCCTCTTTATTTCATCTCTGATGGAGTTACGCAGGCATTTGGCTGGTTCTGGGTCTTTTCTTCTACCCATACATTGCCCAGAAGGACCCAGAAACTGTGTGTTGGGTAGGATGCACTGCAATAGCAGTGAAGTATTTATTCTGTATCTGAGCTGGGTAGCCGGGAAAGCCCAACCCAAGTACAAGTTGTAAGACAGTTTCATTTTACTTCTAAGCACATCTAGACAATGTATGCACAGCTGAGCAATTTGCTTGGCCTTATCCCTTTTACTACATGGATTTTGTATTAAAAGAGGATACATGACCAGACTTTCATCCAGGCTATCAGTGTGTGTGGTCAACCAGTAAGGCCTCACATTCTTCTTCCTGTGTACCAAGCTGGTCATTAATCTGTTTCCTGACACGCTGACTCTTCTTCAAGGCAACCAGCAACATTCACTGAAGCATGGGAAGGTAGGGAGCTGTCACAAATAAGATTTTATATGGCTTTGATTTAGCAACAATTTAGGTTTTATTAATATTTTTGAGATAGATCATAAGATCAGGTTGTATAATTATTAACAGCACTTAATCATCAGCCAGTTTAACAGAGTGGTTTAATGGAATTTGTTAAAATCAAAAGCTATTTAGTTAAAGATTGAGAACGGCAAGGGTCACCGAAAACTTACATCAGTGATGCACATGTGGATGGAGGTTAAATCAAATCACACATACAGACAAGCAAACAAAAAATTCTGAATCAAATTGCACACAGACAGGCAGGAAAATGGTTCTGAACTAAAACACACACACAGAGGTTAACCTAGGATTATAATTTCCCTTTTCATGAATTTTATGAATTACTCATGTTTATGTGTCTGCATGCATCAGTGGGTGGTCAGTGAACCTCGTGAAATCGGGTCTTTGAGTCCTTACGAAATTGTTGTCAGACGATCTTTCAGTCCTTGTGAAACCTGCCCTGAGAGACATCCCAGCTCAGGGGGGGACAGTGGGTCACACAGTCCGCTGCAGTCCCAGAATATTCAAAAGGTCTCCTCTTTGGATCACTATTTATAGGATCTTGAGATGATTACCTTTGGTCAATACTCTCCATTCTGGCCACAATTTGTGCTGAGTGATTCTGGTAGACAATTCAGGGAGCAGGTAGCCCAGGTGTGTCCAGGGAGTGCCTGATGCCCAGGTCACTGCAGTTGTATCCAAGATAACAGCATAATGAGGCTTACCCTGAGCTCTCAGAGCGGCCCAGATCCCTGCACCACCACAGGAGGGTACGGCAGGGAGCCTTTGGAGTGGCAGTGACAAGTGGGACCAATAAGGGTATGCTCAGTGCTGCAAAACCAGTAGGGTGAGAGACATGAATGGCTGGAGTCTGGACTGAGAACCTGTCAGGATGAAACCTGTGTGTACCCCAACTTATTCTGTCTCCCCTTCATGGCCCAGTCTCCACATCAAGACGGGGTGCCCTAGGCAGGACCTGCAATACCCGCAGGCATGTGATAGTCGCAGTGCATGACATGCCACGGCCCTGGGGCACACCATCTCCTGAAATGGTTACAGCCATGAACTGCTCCCACTTATCCTGGGCAGGGCTTATCCCAGATGCAGAGACTTCAGAGCTGGCCCTGGGCAACATGAGATAAAGCTGGGCAGGGCTGGTGCATGCTGGTGACTGCATGCAGCCAGTACCCTGCTCTCCAGCACACCCCTCAGCACCCACTACCACTTGGCATTTCATTATCCAGTATGTCCCAACAGTCCCAGACTGATTCAATGCTGCTGTGTTGATTCAGTTCCCAAAGAGCTGACTGAGGTAAAAAAATGGGTTAAGCAGTTAGACACTGAACCATCCTTAGACCAGGATCCTATAACTTTTTAATCTTTCCTTTGATAAGATAGCTGAATCACAGTTTGAAAATTCGCTGCAGCCTAGATTTGCAGCTCTGAAATATTTCTTATTTTGATTCCTTGAATTCTTTTTTCTTCCCCCAGAACATCCAGGCTGAATACAGTGTTTTGTGAATCATCTCATTCATGCTTCATGCGGAGGTAATGCTACCACTTTACTTATCTGTTTTATTGACCCATTTACATAGCCAAGGGTGGCACTGCAAGCTGCTATCCAATTGGTGATATTCTGATTTTCTGGAGTATGTCCAATATGACAGATTTTATGAGTTAAACATTGAAGGGATGTCATCAGTTTTTAAAAGTCACATTCCTACTTGGCTTTTTCTCATAATCGTTGTTACAGGCAAGACTACTGGGATCACCATAATGATAAAAATAAGGGATGCAAGTGTTTTGCCATAGTCTGTGATTTTTGGAAGATCTTTTTCTCTATTTGCACTTGAGGGCATTTCTGATTTTTTATATGGTCAGTGCCTCTGCTTGCTGCTTATAGGCAGTTTATTTCCAGAAAATATATAAATCTGGGTCTGCTTAACAGCATAAGCACATCATAGATGATGTTGTGAGGGCGGTGGCTGTAAAGCAGAAGCAGGATAGGATCGAGGACTGACCCTTGGGTCCACCCCTTTCTGCTTACTACTATTCTGCTCTACCCATTTCATCCTCCACTTTTTGAGAGAAACTATTGAACTTGGAAGGAAGGCTCCACGTTTCCATAGTCATGGCAATCTTTTCTTCCCTAACCCCAGTCTTAATAGCTGTTATATGTGTTTTGATTGGGGTAATACTGAAAAAGACTAATGGAGAGAAAGAAAAACGTGAGACTAAAAGCAAGCCTCTATCTCGCCCGTGGGTGGATGAAGATTTAAAAGATGGCACTGACCACCACTTAGAGGAAGAAGGTAAGAGAAATCTTATCCAGTTTTGTTGTTTGAATTTGATCTGCTGATCTGAACAAAGAAGATGCAATCTTCTCGACTTCTCCACAGTGATGGAAATGCATAATGCTACTGCTGCTGTGCCCTGAGCTTATCAGCTCTGTGGAAGGAGGCTGTCCTGATATCATGTCACTCTTGGTGTAAATCTCTATTTTGTTCAGATCCCACAGATCAGAGTGCAAAAAAAAAAATGCATTTTCAAAGACCGCTCTCTGCCCAGCAGATTTCAGACCTATGAGGAGCTCTGTGGGGAATGTAGGAAAAGGAGATACTGCTGAAGTGTCCCCAGCCTCTTCCTGGGCCTCATTAAGTGTGAGCAAAGGGAAGACCTGAGCAGATAGTTTCTATCTGCAAGCTGATTTTGTAGACATCTCATCCTACTTTACTATCCAGTGCTACATATTCGATTTCAGCGCCCCTAGAAAAGTTGGAAATGGGTTATTACTGTTACTACAGAAGTCCTCCATTTGCAGCTCCTGTGAATGTCTATGAGAGCTTTAGCTGGATTAGCATTGGGATCATTTGGGAGGTATGATGATCAAATATTTGAGAACAAAATGTGGTGATGGTCCTAATCTCTGTTCCCTCAACTGTGTATTTGAATCTGTACAGAATGTGTGTGTCCACCCCCCCTCCTTTTTTTTTTTTTTGTACTGATTTCTGATGCACAGCTTGGACAAAAGTCTGAGCACAATATATACTCTTCCTTCTTCTTGCTTCCTGACAGTCCTTCATAAATTCCCTTCATTTCCTTGTGAAATAAAAATCTACAGAATTCTATTCCTCCGAAGTTTTTAAACTTGCAGTTAATACAGCCTTTTTTTTACGCAAGCTGGTTTCAAAGGCTTTTTATGTGTTTTTTGTCCCATAATGACACATTGCCTGAGTCCACTTCTAAGAATCTTGAAACTTAGACTGTTTTTCTGCACATATACCTTTTTTTTCTAAGAACCATTATTTCTCTTTATTTCTCAGTGTTCAGTGTAGTTTGAGTTAGTGTTGTGTATAAGTTCCTAGAAATAGCTGATACTCAGAAAATTTTAAACCACCTTGAGTATTTCCCAAATACAAAAAAATTCGATAAAAGTTAGTTCATATGTTGTACTCTCCTTTGTACAATTAAAAATGGCTTCTGTATAAAATTATCCCATATTTCCTTTGTCACTAATGCCTTACTAATTCAGTTAAATTTCTGCAATTTAAAATTCCTGTGGGTAGTTCAAGTGACAATCTATGAACTTTCAGTGACATCTTTGACTACAGCTGTTTCTATCAGTTTAAAAATTTAGATCCTCTAAAAAACCAAACCTATTAGCTCTTAATCTAGGGCTGTTGTAGGTGAAAAAGATGAATTTTGAACAGCCCCCTAACAGGAAGAGGCAGCTGAAAACCAACTCTTTTGATACGCGCACATGACCCGAGTGATGGTGCTTTGCCAAGAGAGTGAAGTGCTCTGTAAGTAAAACACTGAACTTACTCAGGCGTCGTCAGCCCCATGAACCTTCCCTCAAGTGGCACTGCCAAGGATGTTTCCCCTGAGAAAGGCATACTTTTGAGCAGCAAAGCATGAGGTGTAATTAGCTGAACTGCTTGGACAAACTTAGTAGAGTCACTTATTGGCAGTGAAGGGCAGAAGGGGGAGGGCCAAGTGCTCCTGAGCTTGTCTGTGTTATGCTTTCAGCAGCTGAAGAGAAGGACATTTCTCAGAGCAGCCAGAAACCCAGTTCTGTGCTTAAGTGGAAATAATTTGCTCAGTCCATTTGTTTAATGCCTTAGCTGGCAGTACTTCAGATTTGTTTGCATACCCATCTGTCCTGTAACTTTTTGCTTCATTTATGAGATTCAGAATGAGAGATTGTTGTGCTGTGGATTGCCAAGAATGGTCTGTGTGTGTATATCTGGCCATGTCTTGCATTAGGCCATGTATGATTACTAAGTAGATACAGATGAAAAAGATGTCTCTTCAGCCTTGTCTTGAATGATGAGTCACAAGGGCCCTCTTCTAGTGGTGGGCATCTGGTCCCAAAGTGGTGGTACCTCATCTCCCACTGCTTCAGGTTTACACAATTAGATCTGGACTATTACGAAGAGAAGTTCAGTCTTTAGCCTAAGGAGCTTGTCGTACATTGGTCAATTAGTCATATATTCAGCTCAATACAATTGATGGATAAGGTGAATATAGACCTGGTGTGAAGGATGAGGTTGAATTTTATCTGTATCTTTGTTACTCTGGGAATCAGTTGCAGAGATTAATAGCAAAGGCATTTTATTACTACATATTTAATTGTGGGGACTTCGGTGATGTACTCAAGGACTACAGAGCAATGTACAAAGGCACAAATATTCCATCTCTTCTGAAAATACACTTGCTCTTTGCTTATGATACTTCATACAATAGACCTCTCCCACATAGCAGTATTTCTTCTCTCCCCAAGTTCAAAGGCTTCCCATATCTTTCAATAATACTACTGACATGAATAAGGCAGTAGAAGTTTAATTTTCCAATTCAAGTACAGTTCATGCTTTGTGTCATTTAGGAACAAAGGACTTGCATGGGCATGGTGGATCATTGTGTTTGTCTCCCTGCTGCTGCAGACACCTCCAGCCCTTGTCATCAGCTGAATGAACGTGAAAAGTGGCCTTTTTTGACTCTGTTTCTTTAACCTTACTGGAAGGTTGTTCCAGAACTTCATGCTATGGGTTAAAAATCCTCCTCTGCCTGCCTGCCCAAACTTATTCAATACTATTCTATACCCATTTTTCCTGTTCCATATTCTTGTTAGTTTAAAGGATACTTTTCCAGCCCTGGTGTATGCCCTCCTGTGATTTATAGACAGCAACCAGATTACCTCCCAGCTTTCCTTTTACAAGGTAAACCAGAAAATCTTCTCTTTATAAAACAGCCATTCCATTTCTCTGAAGATCTTAAAAAACTGTCTGCAATTATATTCCAGTTGGAGGTAATTTTTATTTTGGCGCTGGCTTCTTTCTTCCACAGTCAGTCTGCCTCTCCCACTTGATACTTCTTTTGCTTAAGATCCCTGACCAACTCTTGAGGTTTCCAGGATCAGCCTGCTAACCACTATTTATAACCCACCAGTAAGATACTCCATCTCTTTTAGTTCTCTATTAGCCACGCACAGTTCAGGATTGGATTCACTACTGGAATTCCTGTAGTGGCAGATTATGTAGCAGTCTGCCATTAATCAAGCAAAAAACACTGGGTCCATTGCCCAGCACTTTAAGTCCAAATATCTGAAAACCTTTCTTTAAATAAATTTAATTGTTTTCCTTTGCATCGTGTCTTTACACTGGAAAAGAGGATTGGAGAGGAATCCTATGCTTAGGAAGCAATTCCTTAGAGAAGAAACTGAAAGAGGTGGTTTGGAAAGCAAATACACTGGTCTAGACTGAGGTTACAAGTGAGGTTTCTTAAGGATCAGTCTCAGGACTAATTGTTAATATTATCTAGTGGCCTTTGTATAAAACTGAAGAGTGTACAAGTGAAATTTCTTAATGATGTACAAGTGGGGGCCAACAACACAGGGAATTGTCAGTGTAGGTAAAATAAGTGGCTCACAGAAATGAAATGACAAATCATTGTTCTCTGTGTGAGTTTATGTTATTAGGAACTCACGGTAAGAATTTTTTGGTAGAAACTGAAGCAAAATTTATTGCATGATTTATAGGCTGATTACAACCTCCCATATGAACTGCTGGGAAGAACAGAAACATCATCCTAGAATGTATCCAGAGAGGAATTTCTGACAGAGTTAGAGAAATAGTACTTTTAAAATGAGTTTTCACTTGAGATATCTGAGCCAAAACCATTTCAGATTTGCTTAAAAAGGGGGAAACCTGATGACTATTGCAAATGTACTACAATATTGATGGCAGCCTTGAGAATGTGGCTAACAAGATAATGGACTGACTAGCAGGATGTCTGTTGTCCATCAAATGATGGAATACAGAGATGTAAACAAGACATTTGTAGTATTGTATAATGTGACTGTACAAACAGGAGTATGTCCAAACATAGCAATTAAAGATATAGAGAGCATTCACTAAACAGATGGTGCTGATAATGATTTTAGCTTAGCATATGGATTATGTTAAGTGCTAAAAATGAATGGCAGACACATGGTGGAAGAGAATAAATAATAGATGAATTTATTATTAAAAAAAATTACCAGGAGAGTTTTGGTTTTGTGTGTTAGTTCTCTTACTCCTGGATTATTGTTCTGGCTCAGACAGTAATCCTATTTTGAGTGCGTTAAGGTTTTTAAGTTGTGCTTACAAAACTCAAGCTCAGATATGGTGATTCTCATACTTCCATTATCACTAGTAACCTCATCTTTGTCCTGTGTTCGACATCCTTGAAAGTACATTTCTTGCGTCATGTTATTATTAAGTTGAACCATCCAGACCACACAGCAGCTTCACCACTTCTTTTCTTCTCTTCTACCTACATGGAAAAAAAAAAAATAAAAATCAAACAAGCAAGCAAACCTCACAAAATTTAATGCAACTTGGTCTTAGGTAATACTGCAAGTTTTATACTTTCTGACTTATAAGGCCTAGGTTTCTGTGCTAACTAATCCTTTTCTTCCATTCCTAGTTACCCATAGATCATTTACAGTTGGACTCAATGATCTTAAAGGTCTTTTCCAACCAAAAAGATTCTATGATTTTATGATTTGAGATGTTTATTCAGCCAACTAAATCTAAAATTTTTTATACCACTGATTGAAACAAATGGCAAATCTTTCTGCTTCCTGTTCCCTGAATTATTCAATCTGAATTCTCTGATTTAATTTTTCTTAACCCCATATTTTCCCCAAGTTTGTTCTCTTAAAAATTGATTTATAGATAGTTGTAGAACTACTTTTCCTTACCCTTTCATGTAGTCAATTAAATTGAATCAATTCATAATCTCATTTTAGAGGTTTGGTTTTGTTTTTTTGTTGTTGTTTTTTTTTTGTTTTTGTTTTTTTTAATAACATCCTCCCCTCACTGAAACTGAAGCTAAGAGAGTTAGTGCACGAGAGAACAGGTCATTTTGTTAAGGTATTTGATGCTGGGAAGCTTAGTGTCTAGTATAATCACAATATTTCCTCTTCAGTCTATACATGGAAAGCTGTGCTTGTGCCATGTACTTCATAACAATGATGTGGTTGAGGCAATAGGACAGTCTCTTAAAGATATGTCCTGATCTAGATATGACCCTGGGGGCCTTTGTAGGCTTCACACTATCCCAGAAGACAGTACATCTCCAAAAGCAACCATTTTTTTAGCTATGCTACTTTTTTATTTCTTTATAATCTACCACAACATGGGGTTTTTTTTGTATTTTTTTATTTATATACTTCTTGGACAAGTCAAAGCAGGTACTGCTGTTTTAATTGCATCTTCATTCTTGCCTCCCTGTCACGTTTTGCTTCATGTTCTGTACAGGCACTAATAGCTCTTCCAGTTTGCTGTCTAGACCTCTGCAGTCAACTGGCCACAGGCAGCATCCTCTTTGGATTAAGAACATTATCAGAGTCAGCTCTCTGAGTACTGTCCTCATCCATATAAATAATTTAATCTTGCTCTTCATCCTTCTGTCCTTCAACATTCATGTATGTATTGATGGTTTATCACCGACTCAACTTTCCTCTCCTTGTGTTTCAAAACCAGATACAGAGATTACACAAATTTCCTTCAGCCTTTGCTCCCATTTGACAAACTTCCTTTGTAAAGATTTTCAGTATTTTATAGACTAGTCTCGGTATCTCTAACTCAAATTGATTGTTAATAGTTTTGCAATAACATGAGAAAAAGAGGTGACCAAGCAAGGCTTGGACTTACTTCTGGTCAGGTTCTGCCTTCTGAAAGACAATGCACAACCTCAGCTGATTTCAGGAATTTTTTTGTTATCATAAGGAAAATATTTCTCCCATTTAGAAACTCCTCTTACATGAATGCCTACGGATAAAATTAGGAAGTGTGTCATTCTGTGTCACTGCTAAATCTGAGTTCAACAACAAGTATCTTTGTAGTTTCAGTATTGCTATACACAAGATGGATTTGGAGAGCAAGAATTAATTTTATTGCACCAATGAAAGCCTATAAGTCCTTTGAGAAGAGCTTGCAGGAGAGGTTATGTGGCCAAAGCTTGCATGATTTTCTGTCTTATCTATATCAGTGGACAACTGAGTTCCTCTACTGGCCAGATAGTCCTCAGTCAAGTCAGAAAGGGTTGCTGAGTTGCTATCTCCCAACTCCCTGTTTTTCCCTTAGGGTTTTATACATTTTTGGGTCATCAGTTTTTCTCTCAAATCTTTTGGCTGCCAGTCATCACCGTCTCAGTTTCTGTCTGTGGAAGGTTTTTTACTTTTACTTTTAACTTTTTTTTTCCTTTCTCATCTAGTATGGCTTTAGCTCATGTCCTTTCTCACATCTTCACAACGCTTGTCTCAGTAAAACTGAACTAAGGTCACTGAACCTCTGATTACATGGGCCATGCCCTCTGGTATGAGGGTTGTACTTTCTTCCAAACCACCAGGCAGAGATGTAAGAGGCAGAGGTATGCATCCTGAAAACTACTCCTCAGCTGCATTTCCTGTGAATCTTCAAGGAGAGGTTACATATTGTCTTTTACCAGCTTAACACAGTGGTCCTTGAAAATGGCATCCTATGGTACCATGTGTGGTGTAGAAGAGGTGGGAAGGATGCAGAGCTCTAACCATCTCCCTGCTTAACCTCCCCAGCTACCCTACCACTCTAAAATGTGTAGGATGTTGAACACTGGTTTTCCAGCTGAAGCTCTTCCTCTCAACACCCTATTGCACCACACCACTTGCTAGTGTAAACATAGCCTTTTAACCCCATGGTATTTCCTTCACTGATTGTGGAGGAGGAACATCAATAAAGGGAATACAAAAGTTTCTGAAAGAGAAGTTCACCAGAATAATATAATGGTTTGGGTTGGAAGGGACCTTTAAAGTTCATCTAGTCCAGCCCCCCTGCAGTGAGCAGGGACATCTTCAACTAGATCAGGTTGCTCAGAGCCCCGTCCAGCCTGGCCTTGAATGTTTCCAGGAATGGGGCTTCTACCACCTCTCTGGGCAAACCTGTTCTAGTGTTTCACCACCCACAGCGTAAAAAATTTCTTATATCTAGTCTGAATCTACCATCTTTTAGTTTAAAATCATTACCCCTTGTCCTATTGCTACAGGCCCTGATAAAATGTCTGTCATCATCTTTCTTATAAGCTCCCTTTAAGTATTGAAAGGCCGCAATAAGGTCTCCCCAAAGCCTTCTCTTCTCCAGGCAATGGGCAAGTCCTAGTCAACCAGGTGCTATTGAATAGCAAATAATCTACTGTACTAAGTTTAAACCACAAAGGGAACATTAGGAAGAGTCATAGTCTTCCTTTTTCAGTTTGAGTGTACAAGATGCCCAGAAAAATATTGGGTCACTGCTTCCCATTACCATGGAGCCAGGTCCTTGCAGACTGTGACCAAGAGTGCTTCACATAAGCATGAAATGCTAAACAAAACAAACTTTCTGTGTGACTTCTTTGTATGCAAAATGAAATGTATGTTGTTCGGTGACTAGAATCATTCTGTTTAGATTCAACATATGAAACTGGATATATTGCAGCCTCTTGCACAGGCTGAGCTACATTTGTGAATTTTTCACTGTTGTTTATAAAATGAACAAAAAATCAGCCTTGTCTCTAAGGCAACTGCATACTACTAAAACACAGAAATAGTTGCTGTTTGAGTTTGCACTAGAAATTGCTATGATTCTGGAATAATAGCCTAATAGCAACTGAAAAAGAACTGGAATATTTTTTCCTGACTTAGCCCTCTGTAGCAGATTGCTCAATAGTATTGACTAGCAAAAATGCAAAATTTAAACGGCTTTTACTTCCACATCATAGTTGCAAAAAAATACTATCCCTGCTGATTCTAGGAATGCAAGGGAGAAATAGGAGATCTTGGAGACAACAGAAGATGCATTTTGTGGTATTAAAAAAACTCAAAGAGACAGATTTCAGTGAAATGAGAAACCATTTTGAGTTCCTAAATTAAAGACCAGAAACACAATATCCTACATTTGATATGTTGTTATCCTCAGTATAGATGCCTGTCATCCATTTCCTCTTCTGCTGGAAGTATCGTGAAACCAAAGAACTTAACCACAAAGTCACATTTGCGTATGGCCTAGACTTGCAATGCTTCTGTTATAAAACATATATATGGAAAAAGCTGACATTTAGCTCTGCAGAGGAGATTTTACACATTTGGTAGTTAAGCTCTCTTCTTAACTTCAGTAACCAAATTGATTTTTTTTGTTTCTTATTAGATTGCTCAGGAAGGAACACACATGTTCACATTTACTTATTGAGAAAAGTGGGCTTAAAGGTTGGCCACTTTTTCACTGCTTGTATCAACTTGTAACCTGCTTTTACAGGCAGGCTTGCAGACTGAAATGGAGAAGGCTGTAACTTCTTCGTGATCACACTTGCTACAGCCAGCCAGGACCCTTCTGCTCTTGGTATTTAAACAAGGTGTTTATTCAGTAGCTGGAGCCGGGGATCAATGAGTTGCGTCAACTGGAACCTCAGACTTTGCCTTTCCAGTGGTGTAGAAGTGCAATGTATGCCAATGCAGGCCAAAGTGCACTACAGTGGTGAATGCCAAAGATAGAAACAATGTTCTCCAGCAAAAAAAAAAAAAAAAAATCCCTAACCACTTTTATTTTCTTGCAGAGGTTGATGAAGAGTGGCAAGGACTCGATGAAAATGTTGCCCATGTCCCCTTCTTGGTGGAGCGCTACTCTGAGGCCGAAATGATTAAAAGGTCACAGATGTTTTATGAACTTCTTAATAAGAGGCGGTCTGTCAGGTTTCTCAGTGATGAGCCAGTTCCCAGGGAGGTTATCGATAATGTCATCAGAACAGCAGGTATGGTACTGAGTGCTTCAAGATCTGTAAAAAAAACCCCAAAACTGTGTAAAAGTGATGTGGAGAAGCCAAGGGAGTTGGCATTTGGCTTATGGTTTTCCTAGATTCACCTGTAGCCATAATGAATAAGCACCCATTGATTGACTGGAAATTACTCAGCTTGAATGACTATATGTCAGGGACTGTTTTGGAGCATTCCTAATTCATTTGTATTTGCAGTGCACCCAGAAGGGAAAAAAAGCATTTCAACAGCAGAAAACAAAACATATAATTTTCAAGCTTTAAAAGATGTTTTTTAAAATAAAATTGATGTACAGTTCAGTGAAACATCTTTTAAATAGAAAAATTGAAGTGTTTTCTCTCAACAATACCAAACAATGTGTACTTCACATGCTTTAAAATTTAATTCATTATGATGATATTTATCATATGTGATTTTTTTTTGGTTTTTATTTTTTTCCCCAACAAATTGATGGAATTGTCCAAGCCATATGGAATATTTCAGTTGACACAAATGGTTGGGGTTTATTATGGGAAAAAATTTTCATTCTAGAACAAAAAAACTTGTCCAGTCCTTTCAGCATTAGTGCCAGGTCCATATTGTATATGACTGGAGACTTATGCTGAGCAACCTGATTGAGGTTATTTGACTGAATGTCAGAATTTTTTTTTTTCTTTGAGAATTTATGTGTTTCAAATCATGACTATAATGTCCTGACCGAATCTCCTCTCTGCTTTAATAACATTGACTTCAGCCAGGACTGGTTTTGACCATTATTTCTCTTCTATGAACCAGTTGCTGTTAGTATAGAAAATATTCACAGGCTGCCTTAGAGAAAAGCTCAGTAGCCTCTAGAAGGACTAATAATATAGAGATTCTGAGCAATTGATATGCATTATTTTTCCTTTAAATCTGTAAGCAGCTTTGTTACTGCACTGTAACAAGTCTCCATCTTCCTCTAATTAGCTGTGAGTCATTAAAACACTAAGCATGTTTTGGCAAATGCAGCAAAGCGAACAAGCCTGGCGTGCAGATGAAGTACTTAGTAACCCTGAAAGCTTTGGGCTGTGTGGTGGAAAAGAAGACAAAGCATAAATGCCATCAGTTCTTACCCAAACCTGAAGAGAGGCAAGGTTCCTGCTATAAACAGATTTTAATATAAAAGATAGTTCAAGCTGCTTATTCAATGTTTCTTAAACTGAAATCGGTACTTATATAAGAAAATACAGTATGTGTTCAAGAACTTCAAATATTTTTAAAATGTGTATGAGGGGCTAGAAAGACCTGAACAGTCTCCTTAACCTGTTTCTCTATGAGATTGTACAGATAACTATATTCTTCAACTTCTGGATTTTATCTACTAGGCAGTTAAAATATTCTCCAGTGGCGTTGGTGTGCAATAATCAAGGCTGAATAAGCAAGTGGAGACTTAATATGTGCACACATACATATACCAGCTGTCTTTGGGACAACACACTCCAACTTGTATGCTATATGGCAGATGTCTGCACTGTGCAGCTCCTCATCTTTGTCAGTCAGTGACAGATTCCTGCTACCTTGCTTGTCTGAAAGCCATTAACTTTGCCCTTCAGCTAAAATTGTGTCTCAGAGTTAGTTGCATATTCAGATGATGTGTTGCTTTAAGTATAGTGCTTTGCATTAACATTACTCTGTGCATATATTGCACCCTAATACTGCCTCATGGTAAGAACCACAAAGGAATTTTTACAAACCCCTGATTTTTGTTTCCTGTGAGATGGCTGTATGAATGAAAGGACTAACCTCTGTCATTGGATGGGTCTTCACATTTTTTGAGAAACAAACAGAGATTGTCTTCCAGAACTTATCTCAATCCTTTTCTTCCCATCTCATTCCCACTGCTCTGTTGATCAGTCTGAAAGACCACAAAGAAGAGCTGTTACCTCCCACTGCAGACCCTCCTTCATCATTGTGCCAAATGAGTTTTCATCTTTCCCTGTTTTTGCATGAAGGTACTTCACCCAGCGGAGCACACACTGAGCCCTGGACCTTTGTAGTAGTTCAAGATCCATATTTAAAACATAAGATTCGTGAGATCGTAGAAGAAGAAGAAGAAATTAACTACAAAAAAAGGATGGGAGACAGATGGGTTAATGACCTGAAAAGATTGAGGTATGAAAAAGTCAATTGGCTGAGGGGTTTGAAGGGAGCTGTGTTCTGGTCTAGGAAAGACTAGACTATACTGGATAGTTTTAGTCATGCCTGGTTTTGTTTTGGGTTTTTTTTCCATTTTTCCTCTTATTTTCTAGAAGAAAAAAAATTATTCAACTCAATTTTAAAAACATAGTTTTAAAATTATTCTTTCAAGTCAGTGCTCCTTAAACTCTTCCCAATTTTCTGGTGGAAAATTCTCAGGAGGGCAGCTGCAAATATTTCCCACTTCCTGGTCACAGAAAAAGAAGTAGTGGGGTCAGAGACTATCCTAGACAGAGAGTTGCCAGGGTCACTATATTGTGGTCCTTTTGCTAATTTACAGCTGGGAAGAAGAAAATCCTGTCTGAGGAAAGCAGAGTTCCCACCCAGCAGGAGCTGAAAATAAATTTTGCCATCTGTATGTGTTAATTCTGGCTGCCTTGTTCTAAGGGCCAGGTGAGATGCAGCGCCCGGCTGATACGTTCAAAAGAAAAACTCACTATGCTTGTGTGCACCAGAAAAAGGATGAAATGAGTGACTCAGATGTTCAGCACACCCTTTTCTGTCTACATGGCTTTGTCTTGATTCTCAAGATGATGGGAATTTTACTGGAAGCATCGCAGTCTAGAAAAGCGAACTGATAAAAGAAGCTTGTTTAGATTTCTTCTAGTATCCCTTTCCTTTTCTTCCTCCCTCTCACTTTCAATATATTTCTAAGATTCATAATTGGAAAGAAAAACTTAAAAATATGTGTAGAATTGTGCCTTGGTGACTGGTTCATAAAATTGCTTCCAGTAAAAAGGATTATATACTGTCCATCTTGAAACTTTCCCAAGCATTTTGTTCCATCATCATTTTTTTTATGTAACCTCTGTTGCCATAACGCTTTTCCCAGTTTTTTCCTGTTGTTTGCCAAACAATGAAGCTTCCAAAGCTATTGGGAGTTTTGCTGCTGACTGAGGTAGTCCAAGGCTTGTCCCTATGCAACTGCTGAATTATGCAATATTTAATTGTTCCAAATGGCCTCCAAAGTCTGACTTGTTTAATTTCACAGAATGGCAAGATGTCTGCTGAGTCTTGCCTTGTCAAAGGAAGCATATGCACAAAGCTTTATAGGGTTGATTTGCCTTTTTGTTTCATAATGTTATTTTTCAGGTGCTTATGTGCTATGTAAATTTATATGCTATGTAAACACCTGAAATATAGGGTTTTTTATATTTTGAGTGAGAATGGTAGAAAGCACGCATTTTCTTATCTAAATCCTATATCATCATTGTATATATTGTCATTAAAAAAAATGGGAACCAAATGAATTCTAACAGGCCTGAAATATCCAGAAACACAATAACATATTTGCTGTGAGAATATATTTAGGTTTACATCTTAGACCAAGAAGTTTTGAACTTTTCTGCCAGCAATTTTCTCTGCAATCAAAAAAAGTTGGCACCGCTACTAACAGGTGGAACTGCAAGTCTACAAAATTCCAGGAATTAAATAATCTCAAGGATAAATGCTCATGAGGCCAGTTCACAGATAAAAGATCAAGAACTACCTCCTATTATTATGCAATTCCAGTCTTCAGAGTGACCACATCAGCTCCTCAGCTGAATCTGTTAAAATTGAGAACTCTAGTCAAGGTTGTTTTGGGGGTTTTTGTTTCAGGTTTTTTTTGTTTGTTTGTTTTGTTTTGTTTTTTGTTTTTCTCTCCAGAAATGTTTCTATTTAAGCTGATAGTACTTAATCCTTTGGTAAATGTTCTAAGCTTTAGTCTACTGCTATAATTGTTGTGTACCTTTAGTGCCCCTCTGCAGACAGTAAATATGACTTATAGGAAAGTGAAAAGGTCACAAAATAAGTGTCTTGAACATTATTCTTTTGCAGAACAAACTGGATCAAAGAGTACTTGGACACTGCTCCCTATCTGATCCTCATTTTCAAGCAGGTATATGGGCGGCTTCCAAATGGCAAAAAGAAGACCCACTACTACAATGAAATCAGTGTTTCTATTGCCTGTGGTATCCTGCTTGCTGCACTGCAGGTACATTGACAGAACTGGCACACTGGAAGTCGATATATCGGTTCGGATTACATACCAAGACTATTCTGCCCAAGTAAGGGTGGAACCCAATCTAGATATCAACATTATCAGTCCTTGGGATTATTCTAATTTCTAGCAATATCACAGAATCATAGAATGGTCTGGGTTGGAAGGGACCTTAAAGATCATCTAGTTCCAACCTCCCTGCCATCAGCAGGGACACCTTCCACTCTTCCACTAGACTAGGTTGTTCAAAGCCTCATCCAGCCTGGCCTTGAACACTTCCAGGGAGGGGTCATCCACAGCTTATCTGGGCAACCTGTTCCAGTGTCTCACCACCTCTCTCCTTGCCTCTCTTCTTGTTGTTAATGTGTTTGTAAAAACACTTTT